AAGAATGGCGGAAAAAGTAAGGAAATCAGTGAAATATAGTTGCCATACAAACTGAGCGATCCAACTCAAGTTCTTGTATGGAAAACTTTTTTATTTGATAAGATATCATCACGATATTTGGCATAGCTTATTTTCAAAGGCAATACTATAATCAGCGAAAAATTTATTTAGATCGGTGTACTATAGCTTATGGCTGTCATGCAAACTGATAAATCAAAATCAAGTTCTTGTATGGAAAATTTATTTATTTGATAAAATATCTACACAAAATCCAAGTGCAGCCAATTTTTCAAGATAAAGCTAAAATCTCTGAACACATTATTTAGATCGGATCACTATAGAATACACCTGCCATACAAATTGGGCGATCTTAATCTAGTTAGAGATATTTGTATGTCTTTTTCTACTATAAGAAAAGCGCCTATGTAGGGTATTACAGCTAGCAACCGAAGTTAAGAAGTGTGTAAAATGTATATATATATATTTATATACATATATTTATACATGTATATACATACATATGTATATAAGCAGTTAAAGTTATATACAAGTAATGTTTATATATTTTATACACTAAATGAAAGCAAATGGCAAACAAACCAAAAATAAGTGTCTTGGCGGCAATTTTCCTAAAATACGTTAATAACAGCAAATTATGACAGACAAAATCAAACATCACACATATTCTCAGCATTTTATAATGATTCGTCAAGCTCAATTTGATATGCGCTTTGTTTTGACTGTCAGTCAGCTGTTGTGTCAGTTGGCCGGAGACGGTTGCCTGTGGCGCAGTATGCCAGTTATGATGATTTGTTTGACAGTTAGATCAACATGCATGCATATATAATTATGTATATACTCATATATATTATTTTTACCTGTATGCGTTAGCGCTGAATCGTTGAAGCTGCAACATTATACATTTACTTTAATCAACAACATTATCGCCGCAGTAATTACGCTGCCAAAGAGCAACTTCGAAACTATTATAGCTTGTAGCTGCTCATAAAATATGTACGTATGTATGTATTTTCTTTTTTATGTTGTTTTGAGTTGCGTTGTTTTGCTGTGTTCATTCGATCGGTCATCACCAGAACACTCAGAGTTGCTTAAAAACTCTTCGTGGCAATAATTTTTGTGGCAAATTTAACTTCAACGCGCCAACAACTCATCATAATTATCTACACATAATCAAGTTTATTGTGTGTAATAAAAAGAAGCACAGCTTGCCGGTCAGCTGCGTAGACATAAATATACATATGTACATACGTGAAGTAAAAATTGTAGAGAAAACATTTACTTCGGTTGCACTGAAGCTATTATACCCTTAACAGAGTTGTTTGTATTCTAGCTATATGCTATAGTGGCCGATCTGTATAATTTCTTCTATAGTTATCCGATCTGCTTTAGACAATAATACATATGAAATGTGCAGAATAATATCTCTAAATAAAAAAATAAAAAATTTTACTTGAAGGATTGAATTTCGCTCGGTCGATTTGTATGAGAGCTATATGCTACAGTGATTCGTTCTGTGCAGTTTCTTCATAGAATACAACACTTTACTAGAAAATAATACGTACCAAATTTCATTAAAATATCTCATCTAATAAAACAGTTTTCCATACAAGCACTTGTTACCGATTATTCAGTTTGTATAACAGCCATATGTTAAGTTATAGTAAACTGATCTGTACGATTTCTTCGGAGAATACATCGCTGCTTTAGGCAATAATCTATACCAAAAGTTTGAAAGATATCTCATCAAATAAAAAAGTTTTCCATACAAGCACTTGTTACCGATTATTCAGTTTGTATGGCAACCATAGGCTATAGTGATTCGTTCTGCACAATTCCTTCGGTGGTGACAGAGCTGCTCCAGACAATAATCCATGCCAACTGTTTGGAAGATATTTCAACAAATAAAACGATTCTCGCATGTTTCTTTCTTTGTATTATTTTATATAGCTTCTTCAGGGTATAAATATTAAGCCGCGTTCAAACAACTCGAAAATGCTGCTGCAAGCAAGAAAAACATAAGCTAAAGCCGTAACATAGTCGCATAAACATATATACAAACACACACACGCTTACCGCATTTGATTGTTTTCATAAAATAAGCCACTAAAGCGTGTAGCACTCTGTTTTTTCGAAGTTCGCTTGTGTTGTTGCTTTTCATTTGGCATTTTAGTTTGTCATTTCGGCTAGCAAATTTGTGCGCTTCTAGCGCTTTTCATCTGTTTCATTCACATACATATGTACGTCTGCAGGCTTATATAACAGCCTGAGCCTTACGTAGAGTGCAATAAACACATATTGTTTTTTGGTGTTGTAAATTTTCAACATAACGGTTATTTAATATGAGAAAATTGTCTCTAGCTACAAGTTCCACAAATTTGTTTACACATGTATATATGTTTGTGTGTGTGGCATGTATGTATGTATGTACATATAAGAACAAAGAACTATGTGAATGTAATTTCGGTGAAAATTTCTCTGAAGTTTTTGAACACCTTTCAGCATAACGTTACATAACATCTGCTCATAAATGGTGAGTACAATTTTGAATTGTCGACAAATGCCTTTTTATGACTTTCATAATTTTTAATGACTTTCAGTATCTGTTTGCGACGTTTTTAAAAAAACAATAAGTAGAATATGATACTTAGAAGAAAACGGTCTTTTTCTGTCAATAAAAAAAATATTTTGCATGAAATGCATTATTATTGCGCCGCCGCTCTTATGAAATATTAAATCCTGATTATAGCGTTACAGATGCTCTCCTTTTATATTGTGTGCTAAGCTTATTATTTAAACACAATTTTCAGTTAGTTTTCTAGTCTAAAGATTTACATTACGAGTACTTTTTGGTGAAATTTGAAAAGAACGCAGAAAAAATTTAAAAAAATAAAGATAAATATATTTTCATAAACTTATGCGTTCTTGAGTTATAATAAATATGTATTTGAAAAGGACTAGTCCTCGTCATTACGATTTCTGCCCTTAAGGGTTATAACAAAACGTGAAAAATTAGGAATCCTCGTATAGTGTCACTATCGTATGAACCATAAAAAGTAAATAAGAAATTTAAAAAAATGGTGACTAGTTTCTCCAAAATAAAACCAAAATAAAATCCATGTTTTTTCGTTTTTTTTTTTTAAATCATACAGTTTTATCCCTAATGCCAACTATATCAACATATTAGGACTGAAGATATTTTGAAGACCGTTTCGAAAATATAAATAAAAAAAATTGCGAGAAAAATGGTATCACATATTTGGTCAACGCGACACTAAAGTAGCTCTATCTTTAAATTTATTTTAAAATTGGAAATATTTTTTGGAATATAATTTGGAACATCTTAGTTATCGATTTTTGCGAATTCCTGGGTTTTAATAGCAGCTTAATTCAAAAATTAATATCCTTATATATTAAGGAATCTAAATTAAATTTCTTTTACGTTCGCCTATTTGCTTTAAGCAAAGGTATTGGGTTCCTTATAATTTCTCAATTTAAAAAAGCATTTCATTTATAAAATAAAAATTATCATGGATGCCGAACTTAATTTCAGTATATGTAACGGCTGATACAAGTAGAGTTACTTAGGTGAGTCATGTCAAGCTGTCGTGTTATTTTTGTTCAGTATTGTTTGGCATTTCATCATGGAAGGACTTACAAATTGTTCAACTGTAACACGAAAATTCTCGCTCTTTAAAGAATATGTTTCGTGCCTCGTTCAATTAATGGTCAGAAGAATCGGCCTATCGGCCTACTGAGCATACTATTCATAACCATCAACTATCTTGAGACCCAGCATTCATTATTGCATAATACTGTAAGCCGAATAGACCATGTCCAGCACGATAGATGCGATTCGGCACCGTTCGCAGCAAATCAGATTGACATACAGAACGACTTGGCCCATTTTACGTCGAGATCTGAAAGCGAACAGAATAAAACTTGTCGCACAACCTTCCCAATCGACATCGCTTAACTCTATAGACTCTTGGAAAGTTCTAACAAAATCCAATTTTGTTCAGTGATAATGCCCATTTCTCTCAGTGGATATGTAAACAAGCAAATTTGCCACATTTAGGACGAAGAGCAACCTGAAGAGATTCAATAGCTGCCATTTCATCTAGAAAAAAACGACGGCTTTGTGTGGATTGTGGAATCATCGGTCCATGTTTCTTCAAGAATGAAGATGTAGCCTTTCGAACATAACCGTCAATGGCGACCGTTATCCCGCCACGATAACCGACTATTTAATGCGTGAAATTGATCGTGATTGAGGCGACATTTTGTTTCTACAAGACGGTGCCACTCCACAAACCTCGCAACAATCAATGGATTTATTGAGAGAACACCTCGGTTAGCATGATTTGGGCCGATTATTGGCCACCATTCCTGTGTGAGGAATGTGTATATGTAAAGTTTAAAGTCTATTGGGACGAAATCCCGCTTCCATTCAGGTCTTAGAGCAAAACATCATGCACGCTTTTTGGCAGTTACCAGTCGAAGCGCACGAATAAGTCATCGAAAATTGAACTCAATGCATAGACCATCTAAGATGTAGCCGCGACAAAGAAAGAAATAATCTTCAAAAATAAATCCCAAAGAAATTTATTTCGAATAATAATAAACATTACCCATTAAAAGTGAAATTTCTGTGCTTTTCTTTAAAAACGTAGAAAACCTCGAAACCTACGTCCCTAAGCGGTAGAGTAACAAGTATCATATTGTACATGTTTTTTTTTCTCGCAGGTTTCTGAAAGGAATATAATATATAACGGCGGAAATTTCGTCGTGGTGGTCATTATAGTTCTTGTTTTACTTTATTTAAAAGTCCAAAATAAAAAAAAAAAAATTGAAAATTTCATTGTTTGATAAAAAAAATAAACACAGAATTTTCTTTTCTATTTTGAAAATTGATTTTTTTTATATTCATTGTTTGATAAAAAAAAATAAATAAAAAATTTTCTTTTCTATTTTTTTTTCAGAACAAATCTTATTGAAACATTGAAAGAGCTTCGCTATAGAAAAGGTGAGTTAAGTTCTGTAAGCTTTTCTTGGATTATTTAGATAGGAAATCTTGAATGCTCAGTGACACATTTTAAAATGAAAAAAGTCTTGCCTTGCAGTGAATTTTTTTGTTCTTTATACATATTCATTTTTGGGCATTAATTTCTTATTATAGTTTTTGGTTCACCTTAGTATGTATTATGTGTGAAAATCTTTACATCATGGAAGTAGAAATTGAGCCTTTTTCCTCAACTAATATTTGATTAATTAAATTATTTTGAGAGCTTTGTTTTTGCTGTATTATATAAGCCTAGAAACCATACTTAAAATGTGAATTTGTTGACAATGTGTCTCATTCGTCCTATCTGAATTGCCGTGAAGCTAAATAAAATATTGGCCGCTGTGTTATATATTTGATAACAATTCGATCTCTGGCGCCATCCACCGTATTTATCTCAAAATTTACTGTTAAAAAAAATAATACAACGCCCAGTGTATTTTACGGAAGTATCTGCTGATGACAATCTTATCCCACGGTACTCAAAAGCCGGATCAAACTAATGCTTTGATCGATGCCCTGAAAATGCTCAGCATTTTTCAGTACCAATTAGCAGTGTGAAATGGAGACACTAACTACCTTGGTAGGCTTCGAGGCTTCTTCTGAAATCTCTGCCGTATTTGGGTCCAATACCGGGTTACAATACAAATACACATTCAACTGACATTTTTGGAATTTAAAAACGACCACTACGATACTTGCCGAGTGGTCAGTCCGAATGAGCAGGTTGGAGCGCACTTCAAGGGCTCCTGCTCCCCGTGCTAACAGAATTAAGTATCCGGTCTGACTTTGTAGTCGAAACTACTACCAGCAGAGCTTCCATACTGCTCTGGAGGGATAACTGCTTTTGTTTACTTGTTGGAATAAATTCGATTTTAGATTTGTAGTTCAACCCTGGCGCCACTCATTGCGATTTTAGTAAGCCCTAGCACTCATCTAAGAAAATACAATAAGTTTAAGCCATTCATGCCATAAATAAATATAAAATTTTTTTATAAAGATTTTTTTTACAAATTTTAAATTCTAAAGTCAAGTATCTTAAAAACTTTCAATGTATGTACCACTTAGTATATCCATAAAAAACTTGTCTACTCACATATAAAAAAACCGCTTTTAATATGCTAATGACTGCTTAAAGAGATCCCCATAACATCTGTCTTGATTTTTTATATAAACGTCAATACCAGTTTTGCAGTGATTTAACGGTAAATGTCATGACAGCACTTGTAAACGACAATATTATATGCCCGTGTGCGTGTATTATAAAACGGCTGACTCACCTATTTGCATACTGGCTTAATAGACACATCATTTCATTGGGAGCAGCAACAGCATTTCTTTTCTGAAAAAAACAACAACAAAAGCCTGAAAATATATCAAACGTGTGACTATGTGGATTTACATATTGTGACGAAATTAAATCATATAAGTTAACACAACATTTTATGAACTTCTACATAAATTCCATTCCCACATTATATGCTAGAAACATACAAACCGTTTGCATACTTTGGAGTCCTATTACAACCAAAAGTGCAACTGCGCTAAACGCGCATCCGCTAAATTCTTAAGTGAGCGAAACACGCGCAAACCCTTTTAGCTGACCAAGCATCTTTGGTCAC